TGTCATGAGACTTTGAACAATATATCACGCCTCGATCGATTCCGACAAGGATCGGGGTGTGACAGTAGTGACATATTTCCATGTACACATCCAAGTTGTCATGCATTAGTTGTAACAGTCTTACTTTATTTAGCATTAAAAATAAGATTAAATGGAAGAAATAATAATGTTTAAATATTTGTGCATTATGATATTTATAACATTGAATTTTCAATCTTATTTTAGTGTTGTTGCATTTACAGGGGCATATCAGATTATACCAATAGTTAAAGGTTTTTTTTTGGTAATCCCGTCAAGCACATTGCTATTTCTGTAACCCCCAAGAATAAAGTAAGATAATGAAAGTCTAAAATAATAGAATGGATGTTCAATTTGTGTTGTTGCTTTTTGTTTTGATTTTTTTGCGAGGTGTGTTTTAATATTGACGGTGTTTAAGTGTTTTTATGTGGTTTTTGTTTAATCGGTTGTTTATGTTTATGTAATTGAACAAAGTATTCATGTAGAGACTCTATTTCATTTACAGAATTGTAATTATAGATTCCATTCTTTTTATTCATCACTCAAAGTAGAGAGATAAGTTACCTTGTAAGTCAACTCATTCAAACACTACACAACTTTTTAATCCACAATTTTTTTGTTCTAAAACTGATCACCATTTTATTCTTGGTGCATTTTTATAAAATCATACTATATTATAAATGAAACATTTTTTTCTTTCACCACATTCATTTGAAACTCCTATGCATTTTTCCTTTCACCACATTCATTTGAAACTCCCATGCATTTTTTCTTTCACCACATTCATTTGAAACTCCCATGACTTTTCAATTTCTTTCTAATAATGATTATAAGTTGGTTAATAAGATTAAATAAATATCAAACCTAAAGTGTAATCATATATAAACTAAATTTCAATATTAAAAGAATATCTTTACTTCTAATTATAAAGTTATGTTTTTTTTTTAACTTTTTACATATCATACTTAATTTATTAGTTTTAATATATTGTTGGATGTAAACCATTACTATTTTAAAGCTACAACTTTTGAACAATTTGTATAAAATATTTAAATTATAAACTTAAAGATAACATTACAGGACCAACTTAAATATAAAATTTAGTTTAACTTAAACAACCCAAATAATATTTTGTAAATAGTTAAAAGAGATAAATTGTAGTGTCTTTCTAATAATGATTATAATTTGGTTAATAATGTTAAATAAATATCAAACCTAAAGTG